TCTCTTCCTCTCGGCGAGGAGGACCTGCTATGCAGCCCTTCTCGTTATTCCCGCGACCTCGCGGTTCCGTCCTTTTCGCGAAAGCTTCATCCTGCGCGTCATCCCGGCCTGGCCACGCTCCGCGTTTGCCCGTCTGCAGTGCAGCGAGGTGCGTCCGCGCGGCCCGGCGCTCCCCGCCCTTGCCCTGCGAGGCACAGGCACGCCCTCGCTTCGCCTGTCCTTGTCGGCCCCAGTCGGCCGCTGTCCGGAGTTGGCCAACGTCGCTGCCCGCGCAGATACTCACATACTTGTTCCATATTGCTTGTAAGGGTGATGACCACCCCTTGCGTTCAGCTATTTTTAGACCTTCCTCCCTCGACCTCCGCCCCCCCTCCGGCAAGCGGAAGAGAGGCCGACCGCGACAGACGTGGCCTGCCGAGGTGTACAAACTTGCAAGAGATGTTTGTGGCAGTCTTCAAGTTCCAATCGAACATTTATGCGCAATCCCAGTTCGAGACTGGAAGCGCGCAGTGCGGTCATTTTGCTTGGCACGGTAAGTGTGCCATATTGCTCATGTGCCTTCTGACACACGGCTTTGACTGACTGACTTCAGCGCGCCGGACGCCGCTGAGGACTGGGCGCCGCTCAGAAGGGCATGCTTCGGTCCCAAGCCATGGGGGCCTCGCATGTTCTCGCATCTCCGTTTTTAAGATTGGATCAGCGTGCGCCACCGCCGCTTGCGAAATAAGCGCCCGCTTGTAGCAGGACAGAGCACCCCGCCCCCGCGCCCCGCATCTCAATGTTGGCCAACGACTGCGCCCCAAGGGAGTGCGACGTGTTGCGAAATAAACGCCCACTTCTGCGTGGGGGCACGGCTTCCTCGTCAACCTTGAAATGCGAGGGGAAGGGGGGCGAGCTTTGTCGTCTTGCCACCGATACCTGAGATAGGCGTATATTTTGCAAACGACAGCAGCATCTGGTAATCGATGATAAAGTGCCGATTTAGCGTCGACTGGCGTCGATGTGGCGTTGATTCGCGTCTGTTAGCGTCGATTCGCAACAGCCAGCAAGATGGTATGGGAGGCTCCCATGAGTTGCCACAAGAAGCAGACTTCTGCTAGTAGTTGCGCGCGGCGTGAGCCGTCACCTGTCCGTGCGCCGCCGCACTTTTTTGTTCCGCCCCGCGTGGTGTTGCCGCCGCCAGATCCGCTGACGAGTGGTGCCGCTGAGCTAATGCAGGCCTGCGCCGCGTTTGCCCCAGCGTCGGGCATCGAGAGAACGCCCACCAAGACAAGTCGATCGAGGAACTCTGTGCTGGTTCACTCGACATGAGTGTGCCCGTGCAGTCCCCAGGTCGCTTTCGCCGATCGACGCGCGTCTCGCAGGACACGTTCTTGGGCGTCGATTGGCTATCCCGCCGGGGTCCACTCCGGAATGCGGTGCCATGCGCACGGGTGAACTTGGCAGCCTCAATCCTCCTCCTCCTCCCCCTCCTCCTCCTCCTCCTCTTGCTCCTCCTCCTCCCCCTCCTCCTTCTCCTCCTCCTCCTCCTTCTCCTCCTCCTCCTCCTTCTCCTCCTCCTTCTCTAAAGAGCGTTTTGCCGACGAGTGTCACGTCAAGCTTCGGCCGCGTATAGCTGGGTGCCCCGCGCCGCCGCTGCCCCCCGACGTGGGGCCAGGGCTGCGGCCAGGAGCCGACTCGGCACCGCTCGGACGCGTGCGCTGGCTCCCGGCGAGGACCATCGAGGCGCATCGTCGATCCTCTGCCTACAGAGAGCATCGCCGAGCATCCTCGATCGTCGATCGAGGAGCACCGTCGATCAGCGCCGATCGTCGAGGAGCACCGTCGATCATCGGCTGCCCGCCGCGAAGTGGCACATGCCGTGTCCGCCTCCTCCTCCTCCCCCCTCCTCCTCCTCCTCCTCCTCCTCCTCCTCCTCCTCCTCCGCCTCCTCCTCCTCCTCCTCCTCCTCCTCCTCCTCCTCCTCCTCCTCCTCCTCCCCCTCCGGCAGTGCATCTCCCGAGGAAGCACGCGCGCGAACCCGAGGCGCGCACGGGGGACTGGGCGCCCGAGCGCTGGCGGGCCGCGCCCGAGCAGCGGGAGCAGCTGCGGGCCGCCGCGCCCCGGGCCCGCGCGCGGGCGCGCGGCTGCGCCGCGCACGTCCTCGCAGCGCCCCTCCGGCCAGCTCTCTCTTAGCGCGTGCCTCGCCATCGCCCGGACGTGTGCATGTGTCCTTCGGCGAGGACCCTCGAGGAGCATCCTGGAGGACTCGGCGAGAAAGCCACGCACGAGGCCGAAAACAGCACACAGGGAAGGGACGTCCGAGCGATGGCCAGGTGCCGCTCTTGTGGCTCCCGGTCGGGCCGGGGCACAGGATCGGGGCTCGGTTCCGGGAGGGCGCCCCAACAATCGCCGTGCCTGCTGGAGGTTCTCTCGTGCATCCTGGGGGATGGCAGCCTCGAGTGCTCCCCAGTTTGGTCAGCGGAGGGTCCCGTGTGCTTCCAGGATGCTCTCCTGCCCCAGGTCCGACCGTACTGCTCGGGGGCAGCGAAGGGGGGGGGGTAATTAGGCATAGGGGGGGATGCATCGACCCACAATCGCTCATCGATCGCCGTTCCTCCCTGCTCGGAACGTCTCAGGGAGCTGATGGATAGGGGGATCGTTTCCAGGGACGTCCTCCAGGGTCCGCGGGCGATCCCCGCGCACATTCTCCTGGACCTCCCTGCCATACCCGTCGCAATCCTCCCCGGAGCCCAGCCAGCGCGTGGAGAAAGAGAAGGGGGAGTGGTCGTGGCCGTCGTCGTGAGGGTCGTGGGATTGGGGAGGAGGGAAGGTATGGACCGAATGCGCACACAGGGCATGTCGGACTCGACCCCCTCTGCGCCCCTTCCTACCCCTTCCTGCCCCGCCAGCGAGGAGAGCTCGCTGTCTCGCCCAGTGCGTCTTGCCCGAGAGAGTGCGGAGCAGCGTCCTGGCTCCCGAGGCGGGGCCCTCCCCCCAGGCTGCGCGCCGAATCGGGGGGCCGCTCCGCACTGGGCCGCGCGGGGGGTGCCCGGCAGGCCACCTGCGTCCGCGAGCGATAGGGCAGCTGCCGAAGCAGGGCGCGCAGGGCTTTCTCGATCGGCCGCCGACTCGATTTGCAGCTCCACTGCGACGTCTCGTCCCAGTCCTGTCCCCGTCCTCCCCCGGCTCTCCACCTCCCCCCCCGCGCCATCCTCTTCCCCCATTCCCTCCTGCCTTCCTTCCTTCCTGCTTTCCTTCCTTCCTTCCTCCCCTCCCCTCCTTCCCCCTTCCTCCCTCCTTCCTTCCTCCCCTTCCCCCTTCCTTCCTTCCTCCCCTCCCCTTCCTGCTTCCTTCCTTCCTCCCTGCTTTCCTTCCTTCCTCCCCATCCCCTTCCTTCCTTCCTTCGCCCCACCTCGCGCTGCCCCATGGGCCGCCGAGCAAAGCAGAAAAATAGCACCCGAGTGCCGGTGCCCGCCCGCAGAGGACCCGCTGGGCGGCCCGAAGGGCGACCGCGAGGTGAAGGTCCGGGTCCGGGGCCGGGGAAGGATCGGCAGCGAGGACTTGGGCGTCGTGTAATGGGGTGGTCAAGAAAGCAGGGGTGGCGAGGGTGGTCCGAAAAGGTACCCAAACGGTACCTAAACGAGCCCCCTGGGGCTCTGGAGGGGCCCGAAAGGGGCACATAAGGGCGACCGCGAGGTGAAGGTCTGGGGCCCGGGGGAGGATCGGCAGCGAGGACCCGCAGGTGCGGTGCGAGGCCCGCACAACAGTACATAACACGACGCGAAGATCGGGACAGAATCGGATCGGGATAACTCGAAATCTCTGAGAATCGGCGGGTTTGGAGGATGTATTGGGCGCCGCGGCCGCTCAAGAGCGTTCCGGAACGCTCTGAGAGCGCTCCGGAACGCTCTGGAGCGATTTATCCCGATAGTTGGGGAGCGGAAAAGAGGGGGGTGATGACTAGGGGGGGTGGATTTCATGGCGCGGGCCACGGTTTTTCCTCGGATTTCGTGGCGCCTCTTCTTATTTTATTACGTCCCAGGTCCCCCCGCTGGGCCGCGCACATGCCGCCCGTCATGATCTGCACCCCCCCCCTCTTGGACACCCCCCTCTTGGCCGCTCCCGAACAGTACAGCCAAGACGCTGAAACGAGGAACCGTTAGGGTTGGGACGGGGCTCGACGTTCCTTGCATTCAGTAGCTGCGTCCATGGCTGCTTCTCCAGCGTTCCTCGTCCACGCAGGCGGGTCTGGGGTCAAAGAGGGGGCTTCGTTCCTTATTTGGCGTTGCTTCTTTCAGCCGCCCGACTGTACTCGAAGAGGGAATAACGCCATGAACATAAAGTGGTGGCGCTCCGCGAGGATTCTTGGATTCGCGCTTGGCCCCGCCCAGCGGCGCCTCCTGCGCCGCCCCTGGCGCGCTCCGCGCGTCAGGCAGGGGGGTCCAGCGCGGATCCAAGAAATCCGCGCGGAGCGCCGACAGTTCATGTTTATTGTCTTTTGTTTCTTTTTCTAAATACAGCAGTTGACGATCTCAAACCTGTGGTGTGTTTGATCACCCAAACGGAGACTCCAGTGGGTACCCCCCCGAGGTTGGGCGTCGCCGTTTCCCGTTTTCTCGGGGAGTGCACGAAGTCTTGGCAGGATCTTTCGTCGCCGTTTTTTTCTGGGGTTCCTCGGCGTTCTTTGGAGCGCGTGATGCGGACCGCGGCTTGCTCGCGGGCCTCCTTGGGTCGCGTGGCCTCATGGGGGGCGCCACCGAAGGTCCCATTGTCAGGGTTCACGTATGTCCCCTGGCAAAGTTGGGCACACGCACGCGCGCGCACACATCACACGGTTCGTGGCCTATATGGAGTTCCACCGAAATCTTCAATAGCAGGGCTCACATGCGTCCCAAGTCCAGTTTTGGAACACCCCTCACACGATGCGTGGCTTCATAGGGAGACTCAGGGAGTTTCACTGAAGGCCCTTGTGGCAGGGTTCGCATGCGTCCCGGTAAATGTTTTGGCGTGTCGTCGTCGCTGTCATGTGCGAAGAGGTTCAGTGAAAATTTGCGTTTTGCTCGCCGTTTTTTTGTTGGGGTGGGTTTGTGTCGGGCGAGCCACGTCGCCGTTTCTCGGTGGCACTCCGTAGGTGTGCAGGAATTACATGTGAATCGCTGGTCTCTCTGAGCGGATGGGCTACATAATTATAATCAGGAGGGGAAAAAACACACAGACACAACGAATCGTCGATTCCCCAGAACATATGGCAAAATATGGGAAGTGGGGGGAAGACAAAAACCCAGAAAATATAGGAAAATATGGAGCATCCTCTTTATTTGTGTGTATTTCTTTGTGTGTCCTGGGGCCCCTTCAAACAAAGGGGAGTGATTGTATGTGAGATGCTGGTGTTGCAGGCGCTCCATGGTGAGCTTTCGCCGGTCTCGCCGGCGCGTCGGACTGGCCCGGGCAAAGGCAGCTCCTCCTCCTCGCTCTTCGCTCCTCGCTCCTCCTCCTCCTCCTCCTCCTCCTCCTCCTCCTCCTCCTCGGCGGGGGCTCCCAGAAGAGGGGGGCCCGCTCGACCCCGGCGGCACGTCTGCGGCCGACGCGCGCGCCGAGCGAGGGGTGCTGCGCACGCGTTCGCTCGCCGCTCGCTCTCGGAGCGAAGGGCGCCGGGAGAGGCTCCCATCGGCGGCGCGGCCGGGGGGACGTGAGAGGCAGGCCTTCTCTCAGCAGGTGGTGGGGCTTCTCAGGAGGCCCCCCTGGCCTGCTGAGAAGTTGTCCGGTGTCTTCTCCGGCGGTCGCCGCAGACACGGATCAAGGGGGCGTGGATTAGCGACGGGCCCCGTTTCCATGGACAACTCGCGGCCTTCCGCCGCCGAGCGAGGCGGCCCCGGCCGCATTCTGGGGAGGGCGCCTCCCCCGCGTCCATGGATTCTCGGCGACCGCGCGCCAGGTGCGTGGATCGCCAATCCAGGGCTGCGCGCCCCCGATCCTCGGGGGAGGCGTGGCAAACCTGTCAGGCGGCCCGAGGCCTTCCGCGCCCTCGGAGGAGGCCTGCCCCCTCCCACTCCCCCCCCCCCAAGGCGCGCCGCGGAGCCCCCCGGGGTGAGGATCCCGGGCAGGTCGAGCCTCCAGGCGAGGACCCCAGGAGGCGGCGAAGCGGAGCAACACCTACCGTGCCCAGAGATCCCACGCATTGAAAAAGTCAAGACGGAGGTTTCTCGCAAATTTCGGCCCCTGGGGGCCCTCGCCGGGCCTCGGGACCGTCAAAAAACGACTCAGGATGAAAAACTGGTCCTGGGGAATGGGTCGAGACTTCCAGGGACCGCGCACTGAAAAAGTCACGACGTCGGATCTCTGGGCGGTTTTTTCGAGAGGACACCGGAGAAAAAAAACCCAATCAGTGGATGGTTTTCGCTGGGGAGATCGCCCGGGGACCCGGGAGCCCGGGAACCCTGACCAGGAACCCGGGAACCCGGAACCGGGAACCCGGGAACCCAGCCTGCCACCCAAATCGGCGGGAAACTTTCGCCAAATCTTGCAACCTCTGCCAGGACCCCTTCAGTGCAAGCACTGATTGGGGAAAAGAGCCCATCTCGGATGCGTGTTGAAGCGGGTCCAACCTCCCGGCCCCAGCAGCAAAGTTCGGGGTGGTCGACGCGGGGGAGTGCGAGTCGTTTCGAAAAAAGCGCCCACATTTGCAAACCACGGCCTGCTCCCTTAGATGAACATTGAAATTGGGGGCGCGGGGGGCGCTCTTGCACTATCTTCTAGGCGTTGTAATTGGGCGTTTTTTTCGAAAACGCCGGTAGTCACGACCCAGGACAGGTCCGATTCACGGTCCAAAACTGACTGGATCATGATCAGGAGCCAGTGCATTTTTGTTGGACCGTGAGTCGATCTTAGACTCAAGGGGGAACGGGGAGGAGGCGGGATTGACGAGGGAGGATGTGGAGAAAGAACATGATGATGATGATGATGATGATGATGATGGTGGTGGTGGTGATGATGATGATGATGACGATGACGATGACGAAGACGATGATGAGGATGATGATGACGATGATGACGATAGTGATGCTGATGATGATGGTGATGGTGGTGCAGGTGGTGACTCTGGCCTTGATAGTAGGCATGATGATATCGACGACGAGGACGACGTCGATGACGTCGACGTCGATGATGATGATGATGACGGCGGTGATGGTGATGCTGCTGACGATTATGGTGATGATGGTGATGGTGTTGATGATGATTATGCTGATGAGGATTATGGGTATGATCATGGTAATGATTTTAAGGATGACGAGAGGACGACGATTTTGATGATGATGATGGTGATTATGCTGACGATGATGCTGATGATGATGATGCCGATCAGGATGATGATGAGGATGATGATGATGATTTGATGGTGATGGTGATGCAGATGATGATGGTGATGATGACGACGATGATGATGCTGATGCTAAGATTGATGATGAGGATGCTGCTGCTGATGATGATGCCGATGACACTGCTGATGTTGTTGATGGTGATGTTAAGGATGATGTTCCTGATGCGATGATGATGCTATGATGACGCTGATAATGACGATGCTGATGCTGATGATGATGATGATGATGACGATGCTGATGATGACGACGATGATGTTGATGTCGATGATGACGATGCTGATGGTGATGATGATGGTGATGCAGATGATGATGACAATGATGATGCTGACGATGATGATGACGATGATGATGGTGAGTGTGATGATGCTGTTGTTGATGATGATGGTGGTGTTGACGATGATGATGGTGATTATGATTATACTGATGATGATTATGATGATGATGATGATTCGGATGATAATGACGACGCTGATGCTGATGCTGATCACGATGATGCTGATTTTGACAATGCTGATTATGACGATGCTGATGCTGATGTCGACGATGACGATGCTGGTGATGATGATGGTGATGCAGATGATGATGACGATGATGATGCAGGCGATGATGGTGATGACGATGAGGTTGACGATGATGGTGGTGAGTGTGATGTTGCTGTTGTTGATGATGATGGTGGTTATGACGATGATGATGATGGTGATGATCATTATGATGATTCTGATGACTAAGATGTTGATGATGCTGATGCTGATGCTGATGATGATGATAACAATGACGATGATGATGTTGATGATGCTGATGCTGATGATGGTGGTGATGATGGTGAGGCTGTTGTTGTTGTTGGTGTTGTTGTTGTTGGTCATGATGATGATGATGATGATGATGATGATGATGATGATGATGATGATGATGCTGACGGTGACGATGACGACGACGATGAGGAGGATGATGATGATGAGGAGGAGGAGGAGCGAGCGAAGAGGGATGGCATCTCAGGGAGTAGAACTGAAGATGTATGCGGAGGGTGGGATCAGGAGAAGGAGAACGACGCTGAGGCGGATGATGGCGATAATGAGGAGGGGGGGGGGCGAGGGGTGGATAGGGGAGGAGCGAGGGATGGGGGTGGGGGGCAGGGCAGACTGCGGAGGCAGGAGGGTGGACGAGTGGCGAGGGGCGAGTGACGAGTTGTGAGAGAGTAAAGTCGAGGCTGATTGGTAGGTCAACCCTGCCAAATCAAGGGTACCCTGTGGCTTGAGTTTGGCGACCCGTGCCTTCTGCATTCCTGTGGCAATGTGGCCCTCAGAGGGTCTTGTGCCCTCTCGCGTGTCCACTCCAATCAACCCCGACTGTATGAGGATGACGAGGAGGAAGGATAATGATAAGAGAAGTAGACAGAGGCGGAGGAGGCAGGAGGCAAGAGGGGGGGGGGGGAGGGAGGGGCGGCAGGGAGAGGATGAGAAAGGAATGCGTGAGGATACGGGGAGAAGCAGGAGGACGGCGAGGGGAAGGCTCATGATGAGGAGAATGGGGGGGATCAGGGTATACCCAAGATGCATCCACGATGCTGCAGTGCTCCCTCTCGCCCCCAAGGGTTTCCCCCGCGAGTCCCCACGGTTCTGCGTCATCCTGCGCAGCCGTGTCCTGGAGCTCGGAGCCCTGCCTCGTCGTGGTGGCCGTGGTGGCCGTGGTGGCCGCAGCCGTGGTCCCTGGGCCCGCGGCCCTGGCTCGCAGGGCTTCGCCCCAGCCCCCGGGCGCCTTCCGCGCGTGGCCGGGGCCCTTCTCCGCAGGCCGCGCCCAAGCCCCCCGAGGGCGGCCTCTGGTTGTTCGCGGTGGCCGCGGTGGCTCTGCCGTGGGCGAAGGGGAGAGCACTCAGAGTGAAGCGGAGGAGGAGGAGGCGGAGGAGGAGGAGGAGGGGCAGGAGGAGGAGGAGGAGGAGGAGGAGAGGAGGAGGATGATGATGATGATGATGTTGATGATGATGATGATGATGAGATGATGATGATGATGATGATGAGGAGGAGGAGGAGGAGGAGGAGGAGGAGGCAGAGCCGGGGGAGGAGGAAGAAGAGGTATGGCGTTGACGAGCTTTCTTGCACTGCAGGGGGGAGGAAGCGGGCGCAAAAGGATGCAGAGGGAGGAGGGAGGGGGAGGAGAGGAAGGAGGGAGCGGGGAAGAGAGAAGAGAAGGAAGAGGAGGAAGAGCAGGAGGAGGAGAAGGACATGACCACCCACAAGACACATGTAAGTTCGCAGTCGGTGGCAGGACCTACCTCCAATCTTGCACTTTTCAAAGTGGTGTTCTGATTCACATGACCCCGAAAAGGTGCCCGTGGAGGAGGGCTGCCTCAACTTCAGGCAGTCTCCTCCTCTTCCCTTTCTCCTCTTCGTCTTCCCTCCCACCCTCCCTCTCTACATACACTGCTCCTCCCATGCCTTCCTCCTCCTCCTCCTCCTCCTCCTTCTCCTCCTTCTCGGTCCCCCGGTGCTGCGGGCATTGTACCGCGATGCCCGGCGTCGTCCTCCTCTTTCCCTTCCTCCTTGCTCTCATTCCCGTCATCGTCCGCCATGGCGGCGCCGTCGCTGTTGTCGTCCTGTCTCGTTGTTCCCCCTCTCCTCTCTCCCTCCCTCTCCTCCCTCCCTCCCTCCCCTCCCTCCCTCTCCCCCCCCTCCCTCCCTCCCTCCCTTCCTTCCTTCCCTCCTTCCCCATCCTCTCCTCCCTATCCTCCCTTTGCTCCTGCTCCTCCTCCTCCTCCTCCTCCTTCTCCTCCTCCTCCTCCCTCTTCCTCCTCCTCCTCCTCCTCCTCCTCGCACCAGGTCGGCTCCACAGAACTGGCGTACACATCCTTGTTCTCTTTGATTACAAGCCTTATTGGTTCAGGCCAAGGGCTGCCTCCCTCGCACCCTTCTACCGAGATTCTTGATGCGAAGATCGAACGCGCCAGGCACGCCATCCTGGAGACGGCTTGCACGCCCGTCAAGAATATAGGTCTCTAAGAGGGCATCATCACCACGGAAATTCCTCCCCCCGCCGCACCCGGCCGCCCCAGGCAGGCCTTGGCGATCTGCAGGGCCCGCATCCATGTATCTGCAGGGGCAGCGCAGCGGTTCGTAGGCACTGTGGTGGCCAGGCTTTCGGATTCGCCCCCAACGCGCTTAATCTTAACCTCCTCCTCCTCCCCCTCCTCCCCCTCCTCCTCCTCTTCCTCCTACACCTCTTCCTCATTCTTCTCCTCCTTTTCCTCCTCCTCCTCCTCCTCCATGCCTTTTCCTTATAGATTCCCCTTCCGTCGCACCCCGAGGCCGCTGGAAAGGGCGGGCCAGGCTTTTCCCTACTGCTTAACAATTGGCAATAGCTTCATCGATGGAGGGCGGGCCGCTTCCAAAATGTGGCTCTCGCCGTAGCGCTGCGCGCATTCGTTGTTAAGACATTGCAAGAGCTTCACGGATTGAGGGCGAGTGGTTTTCAACATGTGGCTCTCGCCTCAGCGCCGCGCACATTCGTTTCAATCATTTGCAAGGGCTTCACGGATTGAGGGCGGGTGGTTTTCAACATGTGGCTCTCGCTTCAGCTCAGCGCTGCGTACATTCACTTTACACATTTGCAAGAGTCTCGCGGACTGCGACCGGGTGGTTTTCAAAATGTGGCTCTCGCCCCTAGCGCCGCGCACGTTCGATTTTCAACTTTGTAAGAGCTTCACGGATTTAGGGCGGCTCGTTTTCAAAATGTGGCTCTCGCCTTAGCACTGTGCTCATTCGTGTTAAGACTTGCAAGAGCTTCACGGATTTAGGGCGGGTGGTTTTCAAAATGTGGCTCTCGGCTCAGCGCCGCGCATATTCGACTTAAAACCTTGGAAGAGTTTCACGGATTGAGGGCGGGTTGTTTTCAAAAAGGTGGTTCCCGCCTTAGCGCCGTGCACATGCGGCTCGTTTTCAAAATGTAGCTCCCGCCGTAGCGCCGCGCAACTTCTCACTTATTTGAATTGTTTGCACGAGTTTCGCTGGTTATTAGGGTTAACGTATCAGAAATGGCGTGTTGGAACGACTCAGGATTGTCAGGGCGCAGTAGGTACGTTGATTCGCGGCGTTGGGGTCCCCAAAATGGTGTTCTGGCACGATTCAGAATTGCCAAGACGTAACAGTCCTGCTAACTCGTGGCGTTGAAGTCCTGAGAACTGTGTTTCGGCACGCTTCAAGATGCTCACACGATTGGCCCCACAACGGGGCAAGTCCTGCAGTGAAAATAACCCCCTGTAGTGGCCTATGACGAGAGATCTTGGAGGGAGGGTGTATTTCAACATCATTGATGCGTCTTGGGTTTGCACTGGTCCTCCTCCTCTTTCTCCTCCTCCTCCCCCTCCTCCTCCTCCTCCTCCTCCTCCTCCTCCTCCTCCTCCTTCTCCTCGTCCTCCTTCTCCTCCCACCCCCGCCGCTGCTCCTTCAGGGGCGTCCGGTGCCCCTGGGCCAGCCCGCCTCCAGACGCGCTCGCGGAGGAGCTGGCCGCCATGTCGCTGAGGGAGCTCAAGGTGGGAGCTGATGGGCAACGATGGGGGGGGCCCTGGGACAGGGGGGGAACATCGAGCCGGATCTGGCGATACATCGCCGATAGATCGGCGATGGGCCCCCGATCGCGGATCCGCACGGTCCTGGGTGGGGTGGAGCTCAAGGCGGAAGCGCGGGCGGGAGCGCGGGCTCTATCCGATCATCGGGCGGCGAGATCTATACATATCCACTGCCCCCTGGCCAGGCCCTCCCTGGACCCAGGAGCTGTGTAGACGCCCTCCTGGTCAAGCCGGGAGGGTGTGGCGTATGCACGGCTGCTGGATTCAGCAAGGTCCCTGCGCCAGGGGGCAGTGGATACGTATGGATTTCGTCGCCCTACGGTCAGGGGCAACGCTAGGGAGGGATGCTGTCAGGAATTGCTGCTCACTGTGTCGCCGTGGCGGCCCCAGCGACGCGCTATCTCCTGCACGCGGATAGCGTGTCGCTCCGCTTCGCGGGGTGGGGGGTCGGGAAAGCTCGGGACGTTGACGCTGGGGGGCCGGGAAGTGGATGGCGTGTTGCGCCGAGGCGTGGTAGGCCAGAACCTGCGGAGCGACGATCCCCGATCAGGGGCAACGATGGGGAAGGATGGGCTCGGGGGGGATCGGCTCCTTGGTCGGATGGGCAGCGTGGCTCTTCGCTGGTTCTGGTCCATCGCGCCTCACGCTACGATAGCGGGAAACAGTTCGTGGACATTCCCCCTTTCCCCCCCAAAACTCAAAGTCGGCGCACGCGCGGAGGGGGCTGCGGTCGACGTGCAGCTCGTCAGGCCCACCCCCCAATTTGTGCACATCGGGGGGAGGGGGAGGCGCCGACCGAGGAATGCGGCACGAGGGTTCGCTATCTGCCTCCGAGGCCTATACTCTATACCCGCGTCCAGGCCGCCAAGCGCCGACGTGCCGAGCCTCGCCGAGCCTCTCGCCCCGCGGAGCGGAGCCGCAGCGGCACGCGGTGCGCCCGCGGGGCTCCGCGTGCCGCTCCGGGGCCGTCGCGGCGCACGCGGGGCAGGAGCGCCCGACCTTGAGGCCCCGGGAGGGTCGTGCCTCGGTCGGATGTCACGGGTGCTCGTTTTCGTGGAGGGGGGAGCTCCTCGCGGCCGTCGTCGTCGTCGTCGTCGTCGTCGTCGTCGTCGTCGTCGTTTCGCGGGTGCTCGGCGGTTCCCAACCATCGGGCGCTGGTTCAGGCCAGCGCTCCCAGCCGGATGGTCATCCTCGGAGGGCGTTGGCCGCCAGTCTGTGCTGGCCTCCGTGCCTGTACGAGCGTGGTCCGCAGTCTCTGGAAGAGGCAGCGCACAGGCCGTCGGGCAAGAGCCAGAGGCGGAGGTGACTGGACGTACAGTCGGGGCGCTGAAGAAGGAACTCTTTTCGTTGGGTAGGGGCTCCGTGTTCCTTAATTGTTTCACAGCTTGCCCCACGTTTTCCTTAGGTCTTCGAAGGGAAATCGAAGGTCAACTTTGGAGAAAAGGGGCCTCGTTCCTCATTCTGGGTTCCTTAGGTCAGCGCCCCGACGGTGCAGCCCTCCGCGAAACTTAAAACGCAAGTTTTCCCACCACCCCCGGCGCCCCCAGCTTCAAATGTGCAGTTGCGCGCGCGCGCGGCGCGGTCCGTGGACGCCGGCGGAGAAAATCAAAGTCGCCTGCTTCGGCAGCAGCATCGACATATTTGGGGGTCTGGCGTGCAGACGCGGCGCGGGGAACAAAATCAGGGGGGGAAAACACATACAGACACAATGAATCGTCCACTCCCAGGAAGATATGGGAAAATATGGGAGGTAGGCGGGAAGACAAACATCAAAAAAATGTGGAGAACTAGGGGGAATCCCTTGATTTGTGTGTGTATTTATTTGTGTGCCCCAGGGCCCCTTTCAAAGCGTGCGTTACGTCTCGCCGAGGGGGGCAGCAATGGTCGTGCCTCGGCCGTGCCTCGGTCGAGCCTCGGTCGACTGCTGCTGGCTCGCAGTCGCTTTCTCGTGGGCGCTCGGAGGCTCGTCGGCCTCACGGCGGAGGGGGGCGCCGGAGCCGTCGCGGACGGCCGCCGGAGGCGCCGGTCGCTGCCCGAAAGCAGGGGGCGAGGCCACGGGAGGGGCGCGCGGGCCCACCCGTCGCCCAGGCATCGCCGGCAGGGGCCCGCACAGTCGGAGCGAGGGTGCCAGAGATCCAACGTATTGAAAAGATCAAGACGGAGGTTTTTCACAATTTTCGGCCTCAAGGGGCCCGCGCCGGGCCCCGAGACCGTCAAAAAATGAATCAGGATGAAAAACCGGTCCCGGGGAAGGGGTCGAGACCTCCGGGGGCCCCGTATTGAAAAAATCACGACGTCGGATCTCTGGGGTGTAGGGTCGAGGTCGGTTCGGGGAGGGTGCCCCGGTGTGCTTCGTGCTCGTGGGGTGCCCTTGTGCATCCTGGGGAGTACAGTCGGCCCTGGTTAGGAGGTCGACCCTGCCAAATCAAGGGTACCCTCGAGTCCTGTGTCTCGCGACCCATGCCTCCTACAGTCCTATGGCAATGTGGCCCTCGGAAGGGACTTGTGTCCTCTCGCGTGTCCTGTCCAATCAAGTCCGACTGTAGGTACCCTTGGATGTTCTGTTTGGTTTGGTCGGCGGAGGGTCTCGTGTTCTTGAGAGATGTTCTCCTCCTCCTCCTCCTCCTCCTCCTCCTCCTCCTCCTCCTCTTCCCCAATGCTCCGACGTCGTGATATTTTCACAGCGTGAGTCCTTGGAGGCCTGAACTCCTTCCCCAGGGCCAGCCGTTCGTCCTGAGTCTTTTTGCGACGGTGCTGGGGCCCAGAGATGGCCCTGGGAGCCCGAGAATGGTTAGAAACATGGCGTTGCGACTTCATCTCGGCGAGAAGAGGCGATGGCCCGTCGTCCCCTGACATCCAGCGATCAGAGTTTTTCCAACCGCGGCCTCAAGTGCCCCGGCCACTTCCCCGGGCTGCTGCTTCGACCAGGTCCATTTCTGCTGGCCCCGGGGCCCGACATTGGCCGCCGAGGGCCGGAATCGACAAATCTGCCAGTTGACAAAAATCATGTCGCCAGAGATTTGGGAAGATGTGGGAGTCCCCCGTCTTCCCGCCGCCGACCCCGCCGCCGTCGGCGCCGCCGCCGCCGCCACCCTCCTCCTCCTCCTCCTCCTCCTCCTCCTCCTCCTCCTCCTCCTCCTTCTCCAGAGAGTTTGGGAGAAGGAGGCCAGGAGATCTGGCCAGTCGTCCTGATTTGTTCCGGTTTCAGTGCTGTGCACTTCCCCTTCTGGGCATTCCGATCCGATTCTCCTCCGTCATGGAGGATGACGATTAATAAATGACTGGGGGTCGTGTTCACGCGGCGGCGCCCGGGATGACGATTAGACAAAACCGGCCGCGGGCTGGAAAACTTAAAAAAAACGTTCTCCTCCAGTCAGAATATGGTGCAGACATCGCAGAAAGCTATTTTTTTGTAATCGTTCCCCCCCATTTTGTTTATTAATCGTCATCCCGCATTAGCAATTTTGGCTCAAGCTGCATTCCCCCGCGTTTCTCTGCCGCCTCCTCGCCCACGGCCGGTGGGGCTCCGCCGGCGGCCCCTGTGGCGGCGGCGCGGGGGAGGGCCAGCACGGCCTGGCTGCGGGGCGCGCCCTGTGCGAGGCCGCCTTCGGGGTGGCCGCTGCGGGGCGCCGCGGCGGCGCGCGCCGCCGCTGACAGCCGGGCCAATCGTCTTTCCCAGAGATAAACGTATTGAAAAAATCAAGACGGAGGTTTTTCACAATTTTCGGCCTCAAGGGGCCCTCGCCGGGCCCCGGGACCGTCAAAAAACGAATCAGGATGAAAAACCGGTCCCTGGGAACGGGTCGAGACCTCCGGGGGCCCCGCATTGAAAAAATCACGACGTCGGATCTCTGGGTTCGAAGGAGCTCGAGGAGGCGCGGAAGGAGTGCCAGTTCCTGCAGGACGCGTTCGCGTCGGCCTCCGCGGACGGGGACCTCGGCGCCAGGATCCTGGCGCTGGTCCCCGCGCTGCGCGAACTGGTCAACGGCCGCAGACTGTCGGGTTTGCGCCGACTGTGGAGGAACGTGGCGCTCCACGCGACGACAGAAGGCATCGACAGCATCGCCACGGCTCGTGGGCCGTCCTTGAGGCGCGATGCCAAAGGGGCCAGGACCTGGTGGCGTTCAGGGAGCCCACCGTGGAGTGCATCGTCGAGGTGTGCTGCGCCGAGGCGCCTGTGATGTCCGCGGTTGGGCCGACGGCTTGGGACCTTACCGCGCCAGTGTTCGTGCCTGGTGTTCTTGCCCGCGGCGTCGTGTGGCAGTCCGCCAACGAACACGGTGGACGCGCTGCTGCAGGCGCTGGCTGCGGCCGCTCCCGAAGGCGCCCCGCCCCCCCCCCCCCCCTGACACGGAGTATGCTGAGTGTGGAGGCGCGTCTGCTGGCCTGCAGCCCGCTACGCTGCCGGCGCAGCAGGAGCGGCCACCCGTGCCGCGTGCCGCGGCGCTGAGCTTGGACGGGTCCGCGTGCGCCGATGGCGGGGTGAAAGCCGAGCTTCCTCATGGAGATGGTGGTCATGAAGGTTCGGCAGTCTACGAGGTCGTCGACGGTTTCGCAGATCCTCTCGCCATGGTCGGTCGCGACTGCGAATGCAGCGCTGAGCTCGAGGACGGGGCTTCCGGCGCGCAGGTAGGCGACATGCTGCTGCTGCTGCTGCTGCTGCTGCTGCTGCTGCTGGACGAGTGTGTCGCTGCCAGACCGGAGGGCGGTGTGGTCGTGATGGACTCCGCCGACGAGATCGGCGGCATGGCGGATACGGCGATGTCCGCAGTCAAGGCGTTTTTTGAGGACGCCCGCGCGGCCTACGGAGTAGGGGCGGGTCCTCGCTCTGTCCTGCTCGATCCGCCTCGAAACCTGGGTGAAGCGCCCCTCGGCGTAGGTTTAGGGGGCCGCCGCCTGGGTCGGGCTTGCCCCGTGCGTTCCCATTCTCCCTTTCGGGGTGTGGGGGCGGCGCTGGCGGTTGCAGGGTTTGCCCGCTTTGTCCCCGCGGGGGTGGTTTCCGTCTCCCTGGCTCGTCCGCGGGATGGGCCAGGGTCGGACGGATGCTTGTCTGGGCTGCTTCGGGGCCCTTCCCCCGTCGCCACGGCGCCCGCGCGGCGTGCTCGGGGCGGCGCGGGACCCTTGACATCTGGGGCCATGGCGGTCGTCTGCGTGCAGACGGTCGCCAGGCCCTGTTTGATGATGCTCCATCCATCCATCCATCCATCCATCCATCCATCCATCCATCCATCCATCCATCCATCCATCCATCCATCCATCCATCCATCCATCCCCCTCCTCCTCCTCCTCCTCCTCCTCCTCCTCCTCCTCCTCCTCCTCCTCCTCCTCCTCCTCCTCCTCCTCCTCCTCCTCCTCCTCCCCCCTTCCCCCCTTCCCCCCTCCTCCTCCTCCTCCTCCTCCCCTTCCCCCCCCCTCTCTCCTTTCCCCTTCCGCATCGCGCAGTCATTGTTTTTCTGTCGCCGCCGCCGCTGCCCGCGGGGCCCCTGGGGGCCCCGTTGCTGCCCGCCCGGGGCAGGCCTTCGCCGTGGACGCGGGGTTGGACCCCTCCGGCTGCATCGAGCGGGCGGACATCGAGGGCCTGGGGCCCGGGAAGAGGGTTCAGGGGCAACGATAGGAGGGCATAGGCATAGCCTCGGCGTCGCTCTACATACTAATACCATATGTGCGTCGCCCCCCCCCCCCCCCCCCCCAGGGGCGACGCGCGCACCGAGAAACCACCTTCTGGTATATGCGTCGTGGCCGGCGCTTTCTGGCCACACCGCTCGGGAAACGATGCATTTCCTCACGGCTATCCTACATGTTCGAGGCGGGCGCGCGCCTCCATGGGGGACGTATAGTATTAGTATCTCCCTGTGCGTCCCACAGGGGGGACGCGTCGACCCCCAATCGCCCGTGGATCGCCGATCGGGGCCGGAGAGCCCCAACCTGCCCAAGAACATCCGGAGCCGCTGTCGAGGGCCGCTCGCCGATGTATTGGCGATGTATCGCCGGTTCCAGGTCGATATTTCCCCCCTATGCCTATCCCCCCCTATCGTTGCCCCTGAAGGTTCGGCTCCACGTGCCCCGAGATCCTGGCGTCTCAATGCTTTCGAGCTGGGCGTTTTTGCCCAGCTGCGGGCCTCTGGGCCCTCTAGGATCGATCCGGTTTAAAACATTGCGCAGAAAGAGGGGGTCCAGGGCTCGGGTCGAGAGTTCTTACGATGTCTAATGTGTTTCGCGTTTTTTGTTCGTGCCGTCGGATCTCAGGGTAGGTGTGGCGCTTCGCTTGCGTGACCCTTGAGCGCGCGCCCTGTGAGGCTCCCTTGTTTTGGATCGGGTCTCAGACACAAAGACAAATAGGCTACGCGTTTCGCTCCCTGAGGGCTCTTCGGGACAAGTTGCCTAGGGTGCAGCATTGAACGAGCATCGTCGACGATGGGATTGGGGGCGCAGCGGAGAGATGCTGTGTGTAGTGGGCGTCTCAAGACGGCCCACGAGATACCCAACAGGGCCCCAAGAGGGGCCCAAGAGGGGGAGCATGAACGGTCATTTCGAGCCTTCCATCCCAAGATGGCCCCAAGGGTCCCCAGAGGGTCCCGAGCCCCCCTCCCAGAGGCCCCCAAGAGGCCCCAAAGAGGCCCCCCAAGACGCCCCAAGAGGCTGCACGCGATGCGACAATAGCGGTTTTTGCGCGCTCGGGCTTGACCCCCCCGCGCCCCCGGAAAGCCGCACACCAAGGGTCACTCTTGCCCAGGGTCACCCGTGGCGTGGAGTCGTCAGATGGCGACGTGGAGCGGGGACGAGGTTCCCGGATCGAAGATCGAGGATCCAGGATCGAGAATCGAGGACCGAGGATCGACGATGGCATATCGAGGATCGAGGATCCAGGACTGTTCGAGGCTCCAGCGGGCGGCGGGGGAGGGGAGGGGGAAGGTTTGGGAGGACGCGGAGGATGATCACGGTGATGATGCTGATGATGATGCTGATGACGATGACGGTGGTGGTGGTGGTGATGATGATGATGATGACAATGGTGATGATGATGGTGATTGTGATCTTGATGATGGTGGTGATGATGATGCTGCTGATGATGCTTCTGATGATGGTGACGAAGACGTCTACAACGATGACGACGATGATGATGCTGCTGCAAATGATAATGATGATGATCATAATGCTACTGATGATGATGACGATGATGATGATGATGCTGATGACCATCATGATCATGATCATGCTGATGATGGTGATGGCGATGATCATGGTGCTGCCCATGCAGATTATGGTGAGGACGATGACGATAATTGCGATGAGGATGATAATGATATTGATGATGATGAGGATGATGTGGAGGGGGAGGAGGAGGATGAGGCTGAGGATGGGGATGACGATCATGATGATACTGACGGATGATGATGATGATGATGATGATGCTGATGATGCTGGTAATGATGACGATGATGTTGCTGCTGCTGATGATGATGATGATGATAGATCCTTTCGGATGGGGCGTTCTGCCGATTTGTACTCAGACGCGAACGAGCATCCCCCCTTGGGTTGCGAATCTCGCCGAATTTTAGCTTCAATCACCGGGACCCCAACATGCTAAGCTACTATGACGGTGATGACGATGATGATTGATGATGATGGTGCTTATGATGACGATGATGATGCTGATGCTGATTGTGATGCTGATGCTGACGATGACGGTGACGATGCTCATGAAGATGACGACGGCGATGACGATGGTGGTGGTAGTGGTGATCGTGATGATCATGATGGTGATAGGGGATGATGATGATGGTGGTGATGATGATGATGCTGATGATTATGGTGATGAAGATGATGGTGGTGCTGTTGCAGCTGCTGGTGATGATTCTGATGACGGTGATGGCGATCGTGATGATGAGGCTGAGGATGAGGATGAGCTTGAGGATGAAGATGAGGATGATGATGATGACGATGACGATGACGATGACGATGACGATACTGATGATGACGATGATGATGATGATGATGATGGTGATGATGGTGATGACGATGATGAGGATGATGATCATGCTGCTGCTGATGATGATGGACCCTTCCCGGGGGGGGGGGGC